ACAATGAAAAGTATTCGACCACTAAACGGTGAGTAATATTATGACTAAATAAGCTTAATTCTACCTTTTCATTTAGGTGCTTTCTTTACAAAATGGATGAAATGCAAAATTGAACAACATCACCTCAACCGACCTCCACCTGACTACCCTAAAGTTACTTTACTTTTAAATGGCAAAGCCTGGCCAAAATCAGTACAAAACCGGTTCAACAAGTTCTCCGCATCAAAAAATATCAACAAATTATCGATACTATCTCATCATATTATTCTTCGTTCTGTTTTAGGTCACCGTTTTCCGCTGCTCTTAAATAAAAAAAATCATTTACAAGGTTAGTTCACTTTTTTTCTCTTGATATTGTAACTTAGTCATATTTCTATTCAGCCTCACATCTTTGCGATACAATGGGTTGCCTATCAGAAGACCATCTCTGCGTCGAAAAAAAAGAAGTCAATTATGCTCGAACCAAATGTGCAGGTATCACGTTACACATTTACGGAAATACTGCTGCGGAATTTTGTATATTTCAGGCTCATCCTTGCGAACACGGCTTACAACACCCGGAGGCAAACCGCGACTTATTCGAATATAGCTGCAGGAAGATTCAAGCAGTCTATCTCAACAAGAACAATTTACCTTAGTTTTTTGTTTTGTGTTTCTTTTTTTTTGTTTTCTGTTCCTTTTTTTGTTTTGTGTTTCTTTTTTTCCTTTTGTGTTTTTTTTTCCAATAAACTTGTTTCAATCCCTCTTTCACTCACCTAAACTCAACCAACTACTTCTATCAGCGAATTTATAGACTCCATCTTTTGGAAGAGTCCAGCGAGTTTATACAATCGGGGGATTTCACAGAATCTAACGAATTTCCAGAACATAAGAAATACACAGAATACAAGGTTCTTACGGAATCTAACGAATTACCAGAACCTAAGAAATATACAGAATACAAGGTTCTTACGGAATCTAACGAATTTCCAGAACCAAAGAAATACACATAACACAAGGTTCTTACGGAACCTAACGAATTTCCAGAACATAAGAAATAC